GTTGTTTTCCTTTTAATGCTACATTATTTTAGTCAAAAATATAAGTAGGAAACTTACCCAAGTTCTCTGATCAGGCAGTTGGAACTGGGAGCAAAATTGAAACAAAAACAAAAAATTACTTCTGTATCAGTATCTTTATTGCAATCTATCCTTTGAGAAATTAACATTTATACGGACTTCGTAATTTTTGCTTATCACGTAACTGTACCTTGAGTAAAGGCTCTGGAAATGAAAATTAAATGTTTTTATAACACTGCTGGATTTCCTCTATTTACTGAAATTAAATTTTAGAATCAAGGTTATAAACCAGAATGTTCTTTTTTCCAAGAAAGCTAAACACTGCCTACTACACCAAATCTTAAATAGCAAAGTAGATACTTTCTTCTTTTTTGGTTTTTACTCACTGCAAGAGTCCTAAACTTTAATAAATAAAACTTCAGCGATTTCCAGCAAAAAATCTAGTCTCTTGCATTTGTATAATGTTAATAAAGAAAATAAGATATTTACTCAAACGTGAATCATTGAGTAACAAAAAGGTAATGTACTTGGAAATGCACTGCTTGACTTTTATTAGCTTGGGATTCAGACCTTTAGTGGTCAAAACACATAAGGATATTAATTAAAAGAACTTCACATACATAGTTACCAACGTCAACTTATGACAAGAATCACTGGGAGAAACTTCAGTGAATTGGGAGCTCTTCCAGGAAGCACAAAGGTTGTATCCTTAAAATTATCATTTTGCTTGGTTAAAGGGGCTACTTCTTGCTTTTTTAAGTTATGGTATCTTTAATAAGGAAGATACATAGTTTTTAAGGATAAAAAATTTATTGCAGAGGAACTCTAACAATAAGAAACACCTTGCTGAAAGCAAAATAGAAGATGAAGGACAAAAAACAGGTAATTTTCACATCAACATATAAAGGATAACTTGGAAAAGCACGAACTTTTTCCCAGTTCTTTGGTATATAGTAACAGGATAGTCAGACACTTTAAAAAGAAAAAAATAAAAATGACTGAATAAAGGACAGAAACAGAAGTAAAACAGAGTCTTTGTTGCAGATGTATACAAAGCCAAACATCTGGAAATAAAATGTATTAACAACCAAAAACATATTTAGAGTATAGGAAAATCACACCAAGGAATAATAGCCAATTTTACAACAGCGTAACTACCAAATGATTTCTATGGCGGTTCAAAGGAGCCATCAATGTAAATGCAAAGTACCTAAGATGCAAAGTACCCAGTGAAATGGACATTCCAGAGATCACACACATTCATATCATTCCTTCCATCTCACCTACTTGTGGCTCTCATTCCTTTTCAAAATTATAATCTAAACTAAGACCCCCACAAACAATTTTCAACCATGTATCCAGGAAGAACCTCTACAGTACTTATTTCTACCTTATATTAAGCTAACTTATTTATAAAAGAAAAGTAGAAATCTAAATAGTCCTCTAGTGGCTTGACACAGAAAGCATACTTCCGTAAAAATTGAACAAAGCGAGGAATTTAGACCCTGATAATGGAAAAAAAGGCAATTATCTTTTACTTTTGTATGTGTTTCTATATCTTCTAGATATTTTTGACAAGACTTTTAAAAATATATATTATTATTCCAAGAGGCAGTGAGATGCCTGATAATCTTTCAATAAAACTCAATAAATATCTAAGTATCTACTGAGGTGTCCACCTTTTTTTTGATTAGGAAATGTGCCCAGGGGAGGGACATGCCGAGTAGAATACAAAGGCATACAAATATTATAAAATCAGGCTTGCCCAGAGAATACCACTACCAAGAATCTATAGACCTATATCTATGTTTTCCCTGAAGCATTAAGAATATGTGGTCTCCTTTATTATGATGATGATATTATTATTATAACCCTGAGAAATACATGAGGAAAGTTATTATTCCCATTTGGAAGACAAAGATACAGAAGCCCCAGTGCTCCAGTGTACTTTAAATGGAAAATGAAGTAACGAATGGTCTTATCCAAGCATTTATTTAGCTACAAAATCATGGCCAGCCCCAGGAGCAGAGGCAAGGGCTTCCAGTTTGGCCTCCTGCTCTGTGCCACCCCTTATTGCTGGCCAATGAGGCAGTGCCAAGAACACAGTAAGCATCTTTCCAAGTACTTCTAGATCCGTGCATAGTCCTGCCAAAGAAGCTGGGTTCCGGGGATGGCAGGAGAGTATTTTACTGGCATTCCTTTACATCCAAAATGGAATACTTCTGCATTCACTAAAATTGAAAGCTATCCCTCATTTAGGTCCTCCCACTTGCCAGGCAGTTTGCACCGTACCAGGTTAGGTACATGAACGCTAACCCGCACAGCTATAGCCAGGTAAGGCCGGGAGGGGTGTTCCCACCACGCTGATATCTGAGAAGGCTCAGAGAGATGAACTGCTCTGCTTAAAACCTAAGCAGTTTTGCTAATAAGCAGGAGAGCCAGTCATAAAGCAGTCATTTCTGGCCCCAAATCCTGGCAGGTTGTCTTTGTTTGTTGGTGTTTGTTTGTTTATGGGAAAGCGGAACTTGGGGCTAGGATGGAATTGATGGCGTACTAGAAAGAACAGAAGAATTCTGTGGAAATTTTAGGACATTTGAGGCAGGCGTTCTGAAAGAACAGACTCTTGGGTCTGGAGGCTTGATGAAAAGGGGGTGGCCCAAGCTTCTCCCAGGTGACAGTTGTGATTTCACCTGTACCCCAAGTGATCTATAGCCATTACACATGAAAACAGCCACGATGGTTAGAAAAATAATAAAATCTTTCTGTAGCAGTTGGTAAACAGCCTTTGCACCAAGAACCTTGAATGGTCCCCCTACCGTCCTGGCCACATCTCAAAAGACCCTTCAGACAGCCCACCAGCCAGCAACTACACCCTTAATAGTCGGGGCAGCAAGGACTTCCAAGACCCTGCCCCAGAATGCCAGGAGTCCAGTCTGATTGGTCAGTATTCATGACATACAGGGTGTTAAATATTTCGATTAGCACTCTCGGGTCCTGTTCTAACAGCTGCAATAGGCAGTCCCTTCCACCAAGACACGACCCTCTGGTGTGGGAAGGAAGCATACACGCCTGTTTGTGGCGCTCTGCGGGGAGGACTGCTCTGCTCCCAGTACCATCTTTTGTGATCCTCCATTCACTTGGGAAATTATCAAGAGAGAGTAGATTTTCTTATTTGATTTGATTAAAAATATGTACACACTCTAACACTTGCATGCACATGTGGAGTTATTGGGAGACAAAACTGCCCATCTTGTAGACTAGTGAATTCACTTTGGCTAGCTAGAAATCTGTGAATTTCAGAGAGAAGAGGGACTTGCCACCCAGCTCCTTCATTTTACAGATAAGGAACTAAGCGCCAGGTAGACCGAGTCACCTGAGGATCCTGAATCCCAGGCTTTTTTCCCCTCTGTTATACTGTGTCCTCATAGCACTTAATTTGGAAGTGATTAGTTGCTAGATTTTAAAGATAATTAGAATATGAGAACAATTTGATTATTGTAACTAAACGTACATAACTATAATATCCCCATGAGCGGTTAGTGATAATTAGAAAGTAAGTTCTCAAGAAAGATAGACCTTTTGTGCACTGACACAAAATGCATATTATGTTCAGCTTCATTAGCCCATGAGGCCTAAGAGTACAATTAAAATCAACCTAAATGTAAACTATAAGTACCTAAATGTAAACTGTAAGTATAAATCTAATATAAGTATTAGATTTACCTATTTCATAACGCGTTTCATTTCCATAAAGTAATTATATAAATAATATCATTCCTTAGCCTTTCTATATAAAATGAATGCTAACTGGAACATTTCTAACTCCTTGAATATTAAATCATATATTTTCTCACTTTGAAATAGAATTTTTGAGCAACGATAGATTTCCCCAGCTAACCAGAAGATGTACTTCCGCTCTCATACTCTGTTGTTTAGGACGTTGTAAAAGTACTGAAAAAGTTGTAGTTGAAGTACTTGAAAAATTGAAGAAGAGGTGGCAGAGGGGGAGGGGGCAGAGGGGCAGGGTGGGTCATATCCCCAGATATTTTAATTACCTCATAACATTCTTTAAGACGGCTTGAATAAAATTCTACCAATTTTATTAGAGGAGCATAATTTTTAGTTTGAATATGTTGAAAAGGAATAAATTAGTTCACTGATTTTAAGCATTTTCATAAAAATTTTGCTTACCATCTATAAAGACCAGAGTTTATATCTTTTAAAAAAATTAGAAATAAAAAACGAACTAGCAGGTAAAAAAACACATTTAAGATGTTTATATATTTGGTCTTTCAATAGAATTCTCCACATGTTGATTGCTATGTAAACCAGTTTTTTAAAAATAACCAAATATGTAAGGACAGAGGGATGACCCAATTAGATGGCACTGCTCTGCATTCTCCTTGCAATGAGAAACTATATATATTTTGATAAATGGACACAGCTCCATTCAGCAAATGGCTCTGTGTATTGTGGTAAATTCTTGTGCAATTACAGAACTTCGCTGGAATGCCCAGTGGTCTCTAGATAAATTCCTTCACCCTCTATGGTAACAACTTGTCAGGTAGACTCATTTCCTGTTTTTTTATCTAAGCACTAAAGGAACTTGAAGGACCTTCATGAGTTTGGGACGAGTCAGAGTATGATCTATCTCTTACTAGCAGTAATTTTTAAACACAAAAGACAACTTCAGTATTTATTCTAACTGAATTTTGCTCACTCCAAAATACACGTTGGCTCAATAAGCAGTTAACAGCAGACAATAATTTAACACCCCCAAAACACATTGTTTTTACACATATATTAATTTCTTTTTCTTTAAAGAGTTTGAGTTTTAGTTCTGCTAGAATTTCCTGTGTTCTTCTACACCAGCGTCATAGGAAATCCTAATGTTCTCAAGATTTCTTTCATTTCATTGCACCTGCTTTTCAGGATCAACAAGTTAGTTTACAAGCTTGAAGTCTCAAATTCAAAATACTTACTTGTGGGTGAAATAAGAATCCTGGAGAAGGTCTCAAGTATTTCTCTTTTAAAGCTTCAAGTGGGTCAGTTAGTTTTCTTTTCTCTACTCTGAAAGGTTAAAATTAGTTTTTGGAGATGAATCAGTCTCATATATCAATCACTATATAATTACTGACATTTTAAACAGCTAACAATAAAGCAAATGGTAGGTTTCTGGGAAGCACACTGATAAAAATATAAAGACATCTGTTCAGTTCTTGAAGAATACTCAGGGCACTTCTAGGCACTCAAAGAAAGAAGGTCCTATTTATAACAGCAAAATCCGATTGAATGACTAGTAATAACAGTAGTGAGGAAATATAAAAAATGAAGAGTCATGAAACCAGAGGGATTGGTCATACATTTGTACCTTTCCATTTCAAATGGAGACAAGAAGGCTGGATGATTTTGAAATCACGAGGAGAGAGTCCATTTTGAAAATTAAAGTCATTTTCTACCAAGAAAGTGTTCACCTAGATATTCATTATGTTTCTCCCATCCTTGCCAATGACAGCAGGAGAGTTTCTAAGCATACTCTGCACACTGCCACTTACTCTTTGAAGTACAGGTGTCTTCTTTTGGATGGCAAAAGGGGGTGGAGGGAAAAGGAAGGGGAATTTTTGAAGATAGACAGAGACATATAAAACTTATCTACATATCCCTTCTGCCTTAGAAATGTTTGTCATTCTATTTACCATTAAGTGTACAGGAAATGAGATCATGGATTCAATTAATTTCTTTCACCGACTGTTGGTAAGTTTCTTTTAAGAACTGTTGAGTAAGTATGCTTTTAAAATAGAATCAAAATTAATACAAACAGCTACCATTTCTTGAAATTTTGTATATGCTATGTTTTGCATTTACTATTTCACTTATTGAAATAGGTCCTCTTATACCCATTTTATGGATTTAAAAAAAAGTCTGAGACATGGGAAAGCTGAGATTTCAACTCAGGTATTACACTAAGACTGGTGTTTAGGTCTTTCGTGACTTTGGTAAAATGACAGGCCTAGGCCCTTAATTCAGAGTGAAATACCAGAGAGGAGGCCAAGTTTCAACTAAGCAAGAGGAAGGTTAGGAGGTGAAGGAGAAGAGTGTAATGGATGTGTGGAGGGACTGAAAGCCCATTGCCACATGAAGGGTCTAAGAAAGAAAGTCTGAGGAATACTCTTCACAAAGGGCTAAGATGTATCACTGGCTTGGAAACAACCTTCCTGGCAATGTGTGACATACAATCCACACACAAAATACGGAAGTGCTGTTTTCCCTTCTTTTCCCTTCTCTTATATAATATTTATTATTATGTAATATATATAATATATAATAAAAATATATAAAAATATATATATTATTTCATAATAATTGAAAAAAAAAAGTGCCCAAGCCTTATTACGATGGCTCAGAGATATTTTTGTATTGTCCTTTTTAATCCCCTTCCAGTGGAGTTAGCCCTCAACATAGTGGCAGTATTTCTTAGTTAATGTATTATAGATAATAGGAGGCAGAAAAGGATGGAGTTTTTAGTGAAAAGGGTTTGTGGCTCTAGTTCCTATTAAGAAATAGGAATCAATAAATGAATAAATGAAAGAGTAGCACAAAATTGTTCATAAAAGACAATCAGGCAAAAATACGAAAATAGTCTCATCTTAAACAAGTCTAATAAACAATGATCCACACGTTCCATTATTTCTTGACAATGTTCAAGACTTGAGTGAGAAAGTAAATGTGAAAATGCTTGGTAATATTTAAAATCCATAATAAGCATAGTTACTATTACTCATACTTTTAAAGAAAGCTGGTATTTAAAAACTAAGTCATTCTGAATTTCAAGTGAGTGTTACACAATGCTAAGAGGCTTTTTATTAAGCATATATGTTTCCCCCAAAGAATTTTTGGATGCAGCAAAGAAAACTGGATAATAAGCATATGAACAGAGATGCGTTTTTCAAAACCAACCATTCACATTATACACAAGACATTTTTGTGACTAATACTTCATTTACTTTGGGCTCCTGGGAGATTTATTTAGCAACAGAATATGAACAGTACTTACTAAGGATGCGTTGGTAGGTTAACAAAGAGAAAACTCATGCTCTTCTATGTCCCATCTCATTTCAAATATCCTGACCCATTTAAGTCCCCACACACACTTGCATTAATCCTTCAAGAGCCTCATTCTTCTGCCACTTGACAACTTGCTTTAAATATGGCTTTCCCATATTTTCCACTTAAAAATGTGTTTAAAAATAAATTTATTGTCAAGGGAAAGAACTCAGTGGGCCTCATCCCAAACCCCAAATTCAGAGACATCCAAAAATAAGTCCAAACCTAATGAGTTGACCGTCTGAGTAAAAAATGAATTCACTAGATCAAACAACTTTACTCTCTGCCTTATAATAATAACAAAAATAATTTGTTACAAGCCATAGCTTTAGAATGTAAAAACTGCCCTCCGTTCACATGTCCACGTCGAAAGTTCTCTTATCCTCCCTTACCTGTAAATCGGGTCCATAAAGAAAGGAGTGGGTCTAGCGTGCTGCAAGGAACTGTCCGATGCGGGTCTCGGTTCAACGTTGCTTCCTTTCTTTTCCCCAAACACATGGTTTTTACGGGGCTCGGCCAGCTTTGTTCCACTGGCTCTACTCCTACTGCCCATACTTAGATCCAGGGGCTGGTCTTGGCTTGTGGCAGGTGTTGCTGGAGGCTTGGAGGGTCCTGGAGTCAAGGGCTTCTCGTCCTTTCGCTTAGTGGTGAGATCAAAGGGAGACTCAGAGCTTCCCTTCTGCAGTTTCTTGACTTCACTTGGTGATTGGGGTTCCATTTTCAAAGGTAACGATCTCAAGTCTCTATCAGGAAATGGGTACATTGATTGAGAGAATGCTGGAAAAAACGGGAGGGGAAACATGGAAGGGTAAGGTAAAGCTCCAACTTTTTTGTCTTGCAGCCCCACCAGTCCTGTTGAACCAAAGTATTTTTCAGCAATAGAAGCAATAGCCTTTATAGAATCATTCACAGCTCCTGACACCGCAGTGTGCTCCTCTAAAGACGGTGGGAAAGTGGAATGATTGCTGTATTCTTTCCTATTATGTCCTGAAGCCAGATTCTGAAGAGGGCTTACTTTGTCTTTGAACATTTTACCATTTTCTTTAAATTTCTCTTTATCACTTTCAAGGTCACTTTCCAGATCAGAGCCCGAGGTTGTTTCCAGGTCACTGCCACTTGGTGTACTGACATCATCAAGGTCACTACTCTCTGACTGGTCACTCATTTTCTCAAGGGGCCTCTCTTCAGAGGACCCCTCGGGCTGGAGCTCCACTGGCTTATTGTCCCCTACAGGTGGGTGTTTAGATAGTGCCTTCAAAATATCCTGTGTAGCTGGCAGTATCTGAGGATGTGTCATGAGGGGACTTTGACTTTTGTTTGTCTGTTCAGTACTTGATAGTCCTTTAACAGGAGAACTAGCAGGTATCAAAGGAGGCCTGTGGTACAAGCCGGAAGGAAACAGACCAGGGAAGCTAAAAGAAAATCCAGGAGCTGTTGGAAAGGTAAGACCAGCGGGATGCCTATTGGCACCAAAATAGTCAGCAAGGCCCGGGTTGGCATGACTCATATTAACCATGGACGTTTTATCCATAGCGGGGGTTCCAGGAAGTGAAATGCCTTGGCCAAAAAATCCACCTGCTGCAAAATGGTTCTTGCCCTCACAAAACCTCCTGTGTTTATTTAAGGAAGACGTAGTGCTGAACATTTGTCCACAGTCTTTGCACTTGATTTGGGTTCTGCAATCAGCATGCATGCGCTTATGACGACAAAGGTTTGAAAACTGAGTATAGGATTTATGGCAGACCTCACCTGTGTGCAAACAACAAAAAAGAATCTCAGGCTTTATGGCAATTGCTGCTGAATTTAGCAAGTATCACAATTGGTTTACCCAAAATTTCAATTAGGAAGCTAGGAAAAGTTGTTGGAGGTACCAATCTGGGTGCTCCAAACACAGAAATCCCCATTTCACTAGATTCCAAAGCAAGGCATCCAACCTGACAAATGTCTTGAGGCAGCACAAATATTTCATATATAAATATATATAAAGATTTCTGTCATCCCCATTGCATATTTTGCATTGTATTTGTGTATTTAAGTATTTATAGAAAAGTCCAATTCCAGCATGCATTGATTTCCCACCCAACACCTACCCTAACAGAATCTTAAAAATTAAAGTCTTAAGCACAATACATAACAGGAACCCATTTCAACTTTTAGACCGCTCCAAGAATTCTAAGTCGGAGGCACCGACACAAAATAAAACAGCCTTTCCCTCAACCGGCAACTTTATCTTTATTCTCTCTCCCCTTGGGGAAAAAGCCTGTGACTGCTCTACCATTATTTAATTTGTGTTATATCATACGCTCTCATCATTCACACATCAAAGCCACACAACAATGCACATTGTGTATTCGGAGACGTTTTTAACAATCATTTTCATGATTCGAGAAAGACTGACATAATTTACAATGGCTCTATTTTAAGCCTGCAAAGGAAACTAAATTGAATGTGGCCCATCCTGCATTGCTGGTTCCCATGAACTACGATCACGTCCTCTGACTTCCCCTCACACCAGCGGTTGTGCTAACCTTCCTGCATTTCTGAAACCCCCGTCCTCGGGAAATATGTCCACTCGTTGTCATATCTTCGCCGGTTATCTCAGGGCTTGACTTCTATGGGGTTTAGCCAACTACAGTAAGCAGGGGAGGGTGCTCTGAATGCTCTAATCCAGAAAGAACACAGCAGGGCGCGGCCAGGAAAGAACCCTCTTTGTGGAGCATTTGCCAAAAAATTAGAACATCTCTCTCCTCACATATTATGTGAGAATAGAACTAAGTATATTTTGAGACCAAGCTTCGTAACCTTTAAGAACTCCTTTGCTAGGTACGAATCCCCCTCACTTTGCAGTTCAGCAGGATTATCGTGCCCATTTCCTAAGCATCACATCGTTTAATCTCACTTTAGTAGAGATGAATCCACTTTATGTGTGAGCTTACTGTAAACGATTCTGTGCACGTTTAATACATGCAGAAACATGATACACCTTGTCGGTAGTTACTGAAACAAATTTATATAAGAAATTAAATTGAAGACAAAATGCAACATTTATTGCTTTCATGTGATGATTGCCTTTAAGCGCAGAATGGTGGAGCTCCTAAATTAAAGCAATAATAATTGAAAGAAATAAAAAACTTGAAGGAGATTTTATAGATGTTCAGTCATGCAAAACTCACCCAAAAGTTGGATTATCCCACACACCACCACACAGGAAAGACCAAGTGATTCCATAATATTTCTTTTACTACTAATGATTAAAATGCACTGCGAAATATATCAGGGTGCTTAGTAATAGTAAAGGAGCTTTCAACTGTGGGATGATTCATAACATTATAGAGGCCGTAACATGCATTTTAATGGGAAGAGAAGATGTGAGTGATTTCTTTTCAAATCATCCTACTGGAATATAGGGACCAGAGGCTGCCTTAAAAGTATGTACTCTTTAACCATATACGATAAATATACATGCTATTTAAATTCTTTGATACACTAATTAAAACCATATGATGTAGAGGGTGGAAACATGAGGCTTTCGCTGGTTACACTAATTCAGCTATGAGCAGTAACAAGAAGTAGTAAATAAAATGTCGTTGGAATTATAAAAGTGCACTCATCGAGAAAGTAACACCTCTCCTCTGGGCATTAAAAGGCGTTGAGAAAATGTCTTGATGGGTCTTCAGCCACGGTACAAACTTTGGAAAAGTTTGCAATTTTTTGGCAAAGAAATATTGCTCTCTATACTTCTCTCTTGGAGCCGGATGGATTTAAGAACTCAAGACCTTCTCTATCTCAGAGTAACAGAAGGTGCATTTGCCTTTCCTGGTTGCACCCTCTGGTACCCAGATGAGTGCGGGCTGTGTCAGGTCTTAAGAACATAGAATCTGGGATGTTTCCCTAGGCAAGAGCTTTGTTTTTCTCACTTGAAGGTCTGGCCTGGCCCACCACAAACCACCAGGCCTCCAGGTAAATGGCTCAATTGATGTTGAAGTCTATACTCTACTGTAATTTTCTTAGTAATAAGGAATTAGCCAGCAGTTAACATTGCATTTTTCTACTTATTAAACAAATTAAGAGGTATTTTGAGTATGTTCAGCCTATTAGAGCATGTGGTTTCTATTTGGGAAGGCTGGAGGTTTCTGTAAAGGCAGTGAGTAATTACCTTAGCACTGGTGACTTTGGGCTCAAGCTTGGCGGTACACTGTAATAAGAGACAGTTGCCATAAACACACCAGTGGGGGTAAATCATGGTGTGTGGCCTTCTGGTGAGAAACAGATATCAACTCTAGGTGAACCTCCTCCACTCCCAATCTCCACACCAACTCTCTTCTTTTGTTCTGAGATTACATGGCTATTATTCATAATTACCCCATGGTTCTCTGTCAGATTTTATATTTGAAGAATGCCATCTGCTATTTAAATTTACCAATAATTACTGAAAATGCATTCATGGCAAATAGTTGCGCAAGCTGATTGGAAAGGGACACCCTATAGTGTTTTAAAATGAAACACTTGACTTCAACACAATTAAAATTCCAGATTCCAGAACCTTAAATGATAGGAATCTATATTTTCTGAATTTTGGTTTAAATAATAGAGAAAGCATTAAATGGGTGATCATAATCCGTTTGGTCTATTTTTTTCCCACCAAAACACAATAAATGTTTAAAGTCTGTTTCTGAGAAATCAGAAATAAATGAGTTATTTATGCCCGTAACACTTGCAAGTACATTTTTAAGGGCGTTACGACCTAGAGTCAGAAATGCCTTTATGAGACAAGAAGTCTAAAATTTCTATTGTATACTTTATTTCCCGTGACTTTCAACAGAGCTTCCCCAAGGGAGACTAGAGCACCCTTTTGTTTATCAGCTAGTCCTCTTCACTCCACCCAGGGAACAGAAGAACATATGAGCAAAACAAGACTTTAGCGTAAGCTGGAAACAGGGGGAAAAGAAACCAACAACAACAAAAAAACTCCCTTGGTGCTTGGAAGCACAAAAGAGGGCTGTGTCGAGGTAATAAAAGGAGGAGGGTTAGTCCCTGGCATCTCCATGTTGGCACTAAAAAATATTTTTTGCCCATCATGTCCTGTAGTAGTGTCTCATACACCTACTACAGACTATTGCGTATTTGTCAGAAAAAAAATGTGTTCTAAGGGTTCCCGAGTCAGAGGTTTTTGCCAACTATGGAGTGTGCTTCAATCAGTTCTATGCGCGTCTGGATCCAAAATCAGTCTTGACGTTTGTAGCACAATTCAGTGAGTCACTGTGTTTGTATGCCCCGCTGAGCAATGGATCAAAAGAAGTCCAGAGTCATTGCCCATAGGGACCGAAAACAACTGAGTTTCCTCATGAAACATCTCAGCATAATACAGGGAACAGGAGTGGGTGGACAGAAGAAGCAGCAAACGAGCACTGAGTTTTACTTTAGGTGGAGCGTGTTACTCAAATACAGAGACGTTCTAAGTAGGTGGTCAGATTGGCTGTCCCCTGAACACACACTGCCTGTAAATTTGCTTTAGTGCGGTGGGTTACAGAAGCATCGCGTCCGGCATCAAAGTGAGAACGTTCTGCTTTTCAAGTAACTGAGAACTACCGGCCAGCAGCCAGTGATTGGTAACAACGTGTAGATTAAGGGGAATTTTATTCCCCCCTCTCTTTCCCCTCACACACACTCATACACACACACACACACACACACACACACACAGTCATAAGCCCCCTTGCCAAGTGGGGTACTTCCAGCCCTTTCTGATCCAGAATGGGTTTTTATCACTTCATCTCGTTTAGTGGCATCTGCCATTTTCAGCGTGAGACAAATCTGGTTGTCTCTATTAAATCCTACAACCTGGGGAGGCTTCCCTTCCATTACTTAATGACTTCTTTCTCGGCTCGTTATTGATTTTATCTAAAAGAAAACACCCCAGGGATTAGAGACAAAATACCCTGGATCTGGGTGTCAAAGATTTTCTTGTAACAGAAAATAGCCCTACTGGACTGGACCATAAATAGCTAATGCGGAGACACTTCCATGGCCACGCGGCCACTCTCCTGATCACAGTGCCTTTTGGACGAGAGAAGGATGCAGGAAGGAGGGCTGGAGTGTTAAAAACTTACAGATAAAGGGCTTCACACTGCTGTGGATGTGCTTGTGTTGTTTGAGGCCCGACGAAGTGGCAAACGTTTTGCCACACTCCGGGCACGCGTGGGCCCGGGCACCAACATGCTGAGAGCGGATGTGCCGCTGAAGGTTGCTAGGGTCCGTGAAAACCTGCTAGGAAATGAGTACTGATTAATCAAGAAACTTAATCCAAGGACACAATAAAGAAGACCAGGAATGACTCAAGAAGGAATTTTGTTTATTTGTTTTGCTTTTGTTTATTTGTTTTCCCCAAAGACCAAAAGAAAGTCATATTTCCAAAGCGTAGTATAGGGACTGTAAACTATTCAGCTCTGTATCCTTAGCACAAAATGTCCATCGGTATCAGTTGAACAAGATAATTAATGGCATGATTAGACCATATTCAAGATCATTTTGATCCCATTTAGAGTGATTAGAGTTGAATAATAAAACGCCAACAAAGACAGGATTAAAACCGGTGTGCTATTTCCATCCTCTAAACCAAGACACACTATGTGCAAAATTGGGGAGAGTTTTACTGAAGTATCTCAAATCTATTCAAGGAGATCCCCCAGGAGTTAAAGCTAACACTGTGTTTCAGCAAGTTACCATGAAGCTAAAACTATTCCTTTAAACACTGTGCTAAAAAAAAAAAAAAATGAAAAAGTCACCCACACTTCTGGGAGCAAAATATCTCTAAGGATAATTTCTAGTGCCACAATTTCCACTGGCATGAAGAAAGATATTCAAATGATATGAGAAGTTTTTGGAAATAGAAATCAACCTTAATAACATCAGGACATCTTTTAGTTCATTGAGAACCACGAAAATTAAATGATGTGAGCTACTGTTTTCATAATTCAGAGTCATGGTCAAGGTGGAGTGCTTTCCTTGCACCCTTATGCTGTTCAGCAGTGGCCACTAAGGCATTACGCTTTTAATTAGAACCAAGTGATGATTTATGGTGGGGACTTGGGTGGAAAAATCTGCAAATGTAGGAGTCTCCTATTCTTTCTGAATAGGCATCCAGAAACTTTATGTGACTTCCTCACAAACTGCTATTAAAATAAATCAGTAAATGTGCATTGGATAAAATTTTCATTCTCCATAAGGCTATAAAACAACCCCACACTGGCAAGCCAGTAGCAGAACCAGGAATTTACCAAGGATGTCTGACACCTAGTTCTGGAACTCACCATTAACCCTCACTTCCTCTCTTACAAAAATAAAAGGATACCCACTAAGTGTTTTTATACACTGTACTAATGCCTTTTAGCATACAACACTCAGTCTACTTTTCTCAAGATATTTATAGTTTCCCCTCTCAAGGCTTGTTTTTATATATCATAGCAAGTGATGGATTAAGAGAGAGCAGGATGACAGAGAGAGGCCAAGTAGTCTACAAATTCACTGTACCTTGGCACAGTTTTCACATTCATAGTGCTTTCCACTGTCATGTGACATCTGGTGGCGAATTAAATTGGACTTCCAGTTAAATGCCTTGGGACACTGATCGCACTTGTATTCCCTCTCTTCAGTATGTGACAACATGTGTTTCTCCAGGCTGTTAAGAGAACAATTGATTTAATAAGACATGGTGACAAAGAACACATTCATAAACAGAATATCATTTTATTAGTAATCCAACTGGCAATTAAAGAAAAAAGAAGGAAAAGTGGTTGAGGTGAGGAAGACGAAGGAGAAGAAGCAGGCCTGCAACAGACAAAAGAAAATGTATTTCTCCTAGACTGTGTCTCTAACTAACATGAGAGAAGTACCCCTGTTGTTAGGAAATAAATTGGATATGGCTATCAGGGATTAGCTGCCAATTCAAGGGCATGGTAAGTGACTTGTCATTTGTCCAGGTCTCGATTCACTACACCCTTCTAAGGGCAACACATACTGCTCACACCCACTTAATTCAAACACAAGCACTCAAACAGAAGATCCTCAAAAATGCTTAAGAACATGCAGGCATGTATGCTATCTGAGGCCTATAACCTCTAGATTCAAAAAGGTACTTTTGTTTCCACCCATATCACCATATGGGAAAGTGAGCTGTACGCTAACTATTCAACAAGGAACTTCCCAATATAACCCTGGGATGGATGGATGGATGGTCAAGCAGATGAACTGACGAATGGATATGGATATACACAGATAGAGAAGTGTACATATATAAAGTGCCTATGAATTAGGGAGGAAAGAAAAGTGTATAATATTATAAGCGGATGCACTATTAAAGCCCCACAAAAGAATAGCATAGTTAGAAGCTTCTCACAAGCATAATTTCTCTGGTTTAAAGCTTAGAATATTTTTGCTTCTCAAGTATTTCCCTCTCTTCTAAAACTTGTATATGAAATCTGCATGAATGCAATGAAAAGCAAATATTATAGATAATGGATTGCTGTGATACTCAGATGTTTGTAACATGTTTGTTAATTAAATACACACATATAACACACTGGGATGCTACCCCCAAATAAAGTAACCAGAGCTCCTTGGAGAAACAGCCTGTTTCAAAGTTGAAGCCCAAGACACACAAGTTGGGCCCTGAACATCTTGTTATGGCAAAACGCAAGAAAATTAGAGATCGGGTCAAAAGAATTAAGGTAGCAACCTGAAAAGACACCCACTGACCAGAGATGAGGAAATTTAAGCATCAACAAAAATAATAACCTCATCCTTTAACAAACAATATTCAAAATCACACAAGCAAAGCCTCACTGGTCACACTTGGAAGATGCTGGGAAGCCAAATCATTATTCTGAAAACTAGTAAATAAAGGGGGGAAACTCACTCACATGTCCTGCCTTTCCTATATGAACTGTACTTCAGGGTGAGCAAATAAAGAGGGGAAGTTTCTCTGCATAGAATTAGTATAGATAATAATGAAAGAATGATAGAAAACATTCATTTCATAGCACATAAACAATTAATAAATCTAGGCAATCCATAAATAAATCTTGTGCCTCCTGAAGGAAATAAACCATAACATCAGTGAGGTATTCTTCCTAAAACAATGAACCTAAATCTGATCAAGGCTTGGGATATTTTACAGGAAGTAGAGAAGATGGAGAAAGATGTTAACACGAAGGGGACATGATCAGTAGAATCCAGACTGGAGGAAATGCTACAGGAAAAAGCAGTTTCTTCTATAAATAAATTTTAATGGGGGGGGAGGGAGGGGGAGAGAGAGAGAAGAAAGAAAGAAAGAAAGAAAGAAAGAAAGAAAGAAAGAAAGAAAGAGAAAGAAAGAAAAAGGAAAGAAAGAAAAAGAAAGAAAGAAAGAAAGAAAGAAAAAGAAAGAAAGAAAGAAAGAAAAAAGAAAGAAAGAAAGAAAGAAAGAAAGAAAGAAAGAAAGAAAGAAAGAAAGAAAGAAAAAGAGACTGACTTTGGAGGAACTTATAAATTAAAAGAGACATAAGAGATATGCCTACTAATTGCACTGGTGGACCTTAGTTTGATCTTAATTCAAACAAAAAAACCCTAAAAATAATGAGATAACTGGGGGAATTTGAACACGAACTTTATATTTGGTAATCCTAAAGAATCATTATTTTTAAAGTGTGGTGTTGAAATGTGTGTTTTAAGGAGTCCTATTTTTCTACGGATACATACTGAGCTATTTATGAATAAAACGACATAATGTCCAGGATTTGTTTCAATAATCCGAACGAGTATATAGCTGAGACAAGACTGGCCTTGTATGATAATTATTGAAACTGAGTCTATGGGGGTTTATTACACCATCCTCTCTAGTTTTGTATATTTTGAAACTTTCCATAGTAAAAAGATACTAAAAAAAAAAAGACTACCAAGCATGTAAGCACTCTTTCTTTCCCAAGTTTTATTTTTCTGTGAGATGAATACTCTAAATTCGAGTATCAAGTAAGATGCCTGTGTGCCTAGAAAAATCCAGTAGTGGTGTAGATTGTGTGCATGGCAGTATATGTAAAAAAGTGACCTTTCTCACATCTTGATAAATCAGAAATATCTTTCCCATATTTTTTCTCTTCCCCAGCTTCCTCCCTACAAACCTACTCATATTGGCACATGAACTTACTTTTCCTGCCCCCATGAGTCAGTCGACTTTGTAATGCTATTCTATTTGAGCACAAATGGTGATATCTCTGTGAACAACAGGTACCAGGAGAGTACAGGTGTGTGGAGTCACCAGAACAGCCCTATCTTTATCTATAATATGTAATCCCCTATTTGTTACACAAGTTGAAATGTTATTAAGAGAGTTAAGAGAGAGATACCATCAACTGCAGTTAACATTGAACTGAGTCAGGGACATCTTCCAATCATTGCACAGATTAATATTCTCCCTGTCATCCTTAGCCACCCAGGAAGGCATGCCATTTTATGACATATATTATATTCCAATGTGTATGTCAACTCATAAACTCTGAAATCTAGTGGTAGACACTGGCCTATACATGGAGTCTTATTCCCGTATCCTAACTCCAAAGAGATGATAGAGTTTCAAGAGTATAGTACATGGTATACAGGGGTAAAAATAAATAGCAGTACAAAGGGAACTTTCTTTTCTTTCTTCTACTCAAGCATAAAATCCATATTGTTCCATGGAATTATCAGCTATCAGTTTATCAGTACTAGAAAGAATAAAAAGGCAAGTAGTTCTTATAGAAGCAAATGTGCATTTCTTTCACAAACAAAGAAGCAATCCAGTCAGTCATGAGTGAGACTTCTCCACTTTTCATAGAACTTTAATTTATGGAGCTTTGCCTAGCCTTCTGGGTTCTTTTCAACTTCTGTATATCAACCTTTGTCCCTCACCCTTTTTTGTGTGTGTGTGTGGGGGTAGCGGGGGAAGGGGGTATTTTTTTTCTTAACACTTTACAGAAAGATACAGAACAGAATAATTACCATGTCAAAAAAGGATTTCTCATTTGTATAAAGCAACAATATAGGATTTGACAAAGTGGAAAATATTCAAGGAATGTAGGTTCTGCCCATGGCTAAATTATATAACCAAAAATACCACTTAGATGGTCAACATCAGGTTGCATAGTGACATGCTAGATCCATCTGGCTGAGCTACCGAAAAGTAAGTTTTGAGAGTTCATCCAATACCAGATAATTAGGTTTCCTTATTGTTTTCCACTGAATGTTTGACTGAAGGAACCAAACTGACAGTTGGTTTTGGCATTAAGTAGAGTTGACTCGGGCTCAATCCTACAGCTAGTCAGAGTAAGAACCTCTCTCCACCTAAGTGTCGCCATACACTTCTAGTGGGAAGTAGGAATTACATTTTAGTGTTTAGTCCACGAATTTTTGTTTTATAATGTTGTCCATTATCTCTGATAACAAAATTGAAGTAAATATACTTAATCTCTGGCATCAGAGATATTGCTTTACATATAAATACTTTCCTTACCCACTGGTATTTATTACTTTCATTTCATTTTTTAATTTGGTCACATTTATATTTATGAGACATGCTATGACTTCATTACAAATCTATGTTTTTCCAAATATCCATAACAGATTTATTCTCTACATGGATTTATATTAAATAGTAAAGATGAGTACTGGGAAAGCCCTTTTATTCCCCTTTACTCTCTAAAAGCTAAATGAGGCCTGAATTTTCAAACCTAGAAATTCATTCTTTTGACTCAGTCTCCTCAAGGACTGGGTTATACTTGATGCTTTTTTAGTTACTTATGCACTAAAATCAATGACTACTGTGTGAAATCCTTTCCTGCAAGAAGCCTAGCCAGAGAAGAGAAGGCAGGGCAATCAACAGAGGGAAAGAGGAGAGAAAAGAAGGGAAGGCACTAAGGAAAGAAAGGAAACAAAATGGTCAAGGGCAATAGGTGGAGAGTCCAAGATAAACCATGAGTAATTCATACTCTTGAATAAGACCAGTTGATATACTACCATTCCCACTTAAATACAACGTTATGCCCATTTGGAATTCTGATTCTAGGTTCCAAGGATCGTTTCTGGATTTAAAAGCAAAGAAATGAAAGCAATTACTAAAACTGCTTGTGCGCCGAGGCAAAAACCACTAGGTAAAAACAAACAGAAAACCTATTGGCTCGTTATATACATCCCTGATCTGAGGGATCAGCATAATTATCAATATAGTTTTCCAAGGGTAGGTTCCAGAGTTGCTGTTTTAATAGAAATAAAAAAATGCTCTTGAATGAAGTTCAAAAGCCTACAAAAGTTAATATCCTGCTGATACATGATTTTTACTTTGTTAAAAATAAGTATTAAAGAATAATTTCATTTAGATCAAGTTTATTTTTTCCCTTTTGGGAAACAGAACATTTTCTTCATTGGACATGATTTTCTTATTCTTTTATATATGTGCAGTTAAGATAAATAGTTGAAATTGAAATCCACAGGTGACACGAATCTATCAAAAGATCATTGATCTTTCATCAAGTGTATACCAGAACCAATCTTTTTTTATTTTTTTTTTGAATCATCTATATGTTTCTAGAGGCAGCTTTACTGTCTGGCATATGATGACTTTAATTGGCATCAGTGTTGTTCCAGCATTCTTGGTTCTTCCTCTAAGTCATATTTTATGCTGCAATGTTAAGCTTTCAGTTGCCAATAACACTCCTTAAACAAACATAAACACATTAATTTCTGGCTAGCATCAAAATAACTAATTCCAACTCCACTGTAAATGTTTTACAGATAAGAATTTCCAGTGAAAACTGATTTCTGAACATGTCCCTAGCACACTTTTTCAGGCTCATCACAGTTCCAAATTTCCCATCTGTGTACATTCTGAAAATTCAGCATACCGACTGCATAACAACAACACTGGACTGTAGAGTAAATAAACATGTTCCGTAGTGCAACAAGCCATTTCTAACCTTTGCAAATCGGGGAAGACTTGGTCACATTCCTTACACTCCTGGATTGCATGTATGTCTCGGAGATCGTTTTCACTTTCGAGTTTTTGTTGAAAGTCTTCTTCCACCATTGAAAATGCTGAGTGAGGGGTACTGCAGGGGAACTTCTGGTGATCTGCTAGTTCAGCCTTGGACTCAAAGAGCTGGTCACAGTCCTCGCAGCGATACTGCCGTTCTTCTGTGAAAATAACTCAGATGTTACCAGGCCTGGGCCGCTCAGGAAGTGTCACCACAAACCAGCAGTTCTTACCGAATCATGGAAGACATACTAGAAATTATTTCATTGTCATTTCCACCACTGCCATTTTTAACCTGACTTAAAAGTAATACCTGTAGAGAAGCCAGGACACAGCCTAGCAGGATAATGTGGTTCCTGTGGCTTCAGTATAGCCTGTGGAGCCTCCTTACCAGGTAAGAACGTTATGGCTTAAACCCTTCCAGGAGTTAATATTCATTAAAAGTAATAATGACCACTGACTGCGCATCATCTATTTCCTCGACCCTGTTCATGGGTTCCTGATACTTCTCAAAACCCGATCAGGAGAAACTGTAAGTCGGATTTTTGTCCCATTCTCAGATAAGGCTACTAGAGCTCAGATTAGTCCAGTAACCAGTCAGGGATTATGGAGCCAAGGGGTCATGCCAGGATTTGAACCCATCTCTGTCTCATACCCTTCTCACTGGGCCATGTTACCTGGAGGGCACGTGGGACACTGAGTCCCCATCTGAGTCATGCTGATACCTGGTTAATAGCAGTAAACTTGGATGTTTCATTACATTTCCCATTACCACGTAATGGGACACAGGATGTTTTTAGTACCCTTCGAGGCTAATTTATGTTACCCTAGGGTCAGTGCTAATTGGCAGGGCCCTGTTAAACAGCAAATATAAGCATCTGCACTCTGAATCAGTAAGATGAATAAGTGGTCATAGTGGGAACTAGTGATAACAAGGTTATAAAGTGTCAGGTAGTGATGGTATTGTTCCTATTCTTTCCACCTGAATCACTTTTAGCCTGCTCGTGAGGCCATACTATGCACAGCCCACACAGACACAATCACAGAAGGCTTGAAAACAGCTCACAATGCTGAAAAGACACCCAGGGCAACGTGATACATAATCCCTGTTTTATAGCCCTACAGCCAGGACCTATAGCCAATTGTTCACTGACTGACTGTTTTTGTGGGAATATTTTAGTCACCAACAAATGCTAGGCATTTTGCTAGGGAATGACTATATAAGAAACTCAAGGGGATAGACATGTGAACAAATAGAGTGTGATATATTTTATGACCAAAGCATGCATAGGGCCTAAGGGAGCCCAGAGGAATGTGTCTAATCCATCTAATCTGAGGGAGACAGGTTCAGAAAAGGCTTTTTAATGAGCGAGCATCCGCAGGTGAAGTGGGATGAGGGAGGACATCTCAGGCAGTGGAAACAGCATGGACAGGTGGTAAAGGAAGGAAGAGCATGGCAGCTTGTGGAAAGGCAAAGCTGTAGTAAAACAGGGCAGGTCGATAGGGTGCATGTAGGGAAGCAATGGGAAGTGAAGGAAGAGAGGGTAGCAGGTCACTAGGGGCTTTTGGGGCCCATGCTAAGAAGGGAGCAGAAAGCCACTGAAAGTCGGAAAGCCTAGCTATAGTGTGAGAAGTTAAGTAGAAGTCAAATGGGACACCACTGCTATAATCCACACACAATACTGGTTTCATTTAAACTAAACCAATAACAGGGAGCCCAGGATGGTAAAGAAATCACTGTGTAGATTTAATATGTGTGTCAACTTTGGACGGTAGAGGATTAAGGATTTATTCTAAAATAAATCACCTCAGCTCTAAAGTCAGGTTTCTTGATGACATTTTCCAGGTAATGGAAACATTTCCTATAATCTGTCACACTATTCACATATTTAAGATCTACATTTAGGGCGTGCCTGGGTGGCTCAGTTGGTTAAGCATCCAATTCTTGATTTTGGCTCAGGTCATGACTTCAGGTCATGAGACTGAGCCCTGTGCTGGGCGTGGAGTCTGCTTGGGATTCTCTCTATCCCTCTGCGCCCCCTCTCCCCCACCCCTGCTTGCTCTCACTCTCACCCTCTCTCTCTCTAAGAAAAAAAAAAAGAAAAGAAAAAGAAAAAAAGATCTACATTTAGGATCTCACCAGCAGTCTGAACACAAACAGAACCTCCAGGCCACAGAATGGATGGAAAAGGCCTAGGTTTTAGAGATAGCAAAACCTTGATTTGAAAGCTGACTCTACTACTTTCTAGTCATGTGGTCTTGACCAATTTACCTAGCTTTAGGTAGCCTCAGTTTTTCTGTGTGTGTAACGGAAATGATTCCTCTCCTACAGGCTTGATCTATGTGTAAGACCAAATGAGATAATAAATGGAGAGCATAAATCTGGTATACAGTAGGTGTGTGATGCATGTGTTTTATTTTCTCTCTCCTAAGCAATGTGAAATCCTAGGAGTATAAAACACAAATCACCATTAAACACCATAAACATTACATATAACATATATGGTGTATATATATATGGATATGGATATGACACAATGAAAACAAAAAGCAACTGATGGGTTCAAGAGTGTTGTAAAGGCAGGTCATTTATGAACGGTAGCCCTAAAAGAAGAATAGTCACTTCTATTTAGTTTTTTAGAATATTTATATTGTTAAACATTTATATTTAGAATTTAGAATATTTTGAATATTTATATAACTAGAACACTTAGAGTATTTATATATCTAGAACATTTATATTTCTAAAAATAATTCTTTGAAAACCTTTTAAGACCTAACATCCACCAATGAAAGTTGCCTTACTCTAGAGAAAGCTCAGATTACATTTCTTATCATATAAGCACCCTCAGCTCTCACACACCCCATTGGACGAGACTCCCTATTCAGGCTGAAACTCTACCAGGCTGGTTGAGAACACTGGATTTCTAAGAAGAAAAGAATTTCCAAAAGGTTCCCAAAAATACAACTGCTATAATCTACAAAAAAGGCAGAATGCAGCCCAGCCAAAGGAAAACATGTTCAAGTAAAGAGCCAACCAAGACTGGTGGCATCCTTCGGAGGAGCTTAAGAAGGAGAGACTGAGGTTTTCCCGTCGGGAATGCCAGAGGGATGGGAGGTGGCTCGATCCCCACCTGTCAGCTAAGTTGGTGTGAGTAACCCTTCCCAGTGGTCCTTCCAGCTAAAAAACACTCTAAAGATGCCACTAGATTATGTTGAACCAAATCACATTATATTAGGAGAGAGAAATAAGAAAGAGAAAGAAAAAAGTACTCAATTTTTATCCCAATGATACAAATCAATATGGGTAGAATTTTCTCTTTATCTGTCCTGTACACATATAACTAGTAATTATAATTGTTCAGATCCCCCCTTCATTTGATTTAGAATAGGTCTCTGGCAAATAAACATTTCTCTGGCTGTAAAATCTCCTCTGTGTACCTCTCTCCCAATCCCCATGCCTCCAACCCTCTCCCATATGGTCATGCTGGCTAGGATTTTACTCCCATTGACACAGTTTTCCCAGTAACAGAACATAGATGGGAAGAAACAGCCACTAGACTTATGAAAGTCCACACTGAGTTCCCTGAAATGACCTTTGTACAGTGAAAGGATTCTCCCCATAGCTAAGGCATTGACAAAAAACTTAACCATGTGGTATATCTCAGTTGAAATAGTCAAAATTCTTTTCACCTCCACTTTAGGGAAAACCTCTGCTGACTTGGGCTTCAAAGTAACATCAGCCAGATGTCAAGCCAAGGAAAGAGCCAGTCGCAAGAGAAAGAGTTTGTTAAAACTGATGTTAAAGAGCAGGAAAACTGATACATGCCACGTGCCATGGACTCACGGGGATGCTCCATCACAGGGACCGAATGAGGGTAGCAGGGACGGTGGCGTGAGCAGTACTCACCGTGGATATCCGGCGCCATAGTTTCATGGGGATAGTCTTCACTCTTCATGAACAGCAGGAGCTCCTCTCCCGGTGCAATGTCTGTGACTACTCTATAAAATATCTTCAATAAGACCAGAAATGGATGAGATGGGAAGAGAGAAAGAAGTGAATGTTAAGAAAGGGCAAGATATCCACTAATATCTGTACATTTTCTCAGACCCGAACATATTTCTTTTTATTTTTATCAAAAGAAGCGTGACTTCCTGTTTTGTGTCCTGAAAATTAGCCTTCTGATGACAGATGGAAAGCTGTGACTCTCATGCCAATTCACAAAGCTCTTCCAAATCCTACTTCACCAATCAAATTGTCTTCACACAAGGCTTTCTGTGTCACATACACCTTGTGTAGTATTTAGTGAAGAACTTTCCCTTCTCTGAATTCCTCACTCTAGTGAACCTCCCGCCCAAGTATTCACAGAGCGGAATGTGTCTGGCATTACCCAGCAGTAGCCTTGCAAAGGGCGGCAAGGGCACAATGACCTCTCTTAACATGTCCTCTAAGGCAGCCACCTTCTCAACAAGGTGTTTTTCAGGCAGCAGATTGGAAGGACATGACATAAAGAGCTGAGCTGTAGCGAATATAGTCAAAGGAGAACCTTTTGTTTTTAAAAAGCTTAATCCCCCTCTCACCAATCATCAGTACTCCCAGATCCAGGACTTGCCCTCGTGCCCCAGCCCCTGACTCCCATTCTCTGAAAGCAGGCGATATGCCTTTAATTGATTCATTCACTAGGGTGGTAGGGGGTGGTGCTTATTCCCCTGCTTTCTAGCAAAATTCTGAGGAGAGAAAAAATTTAATAAATCTGTTAATGACTGACTAGAAAGCTGTGGGGCAAATATGGACCTGTAATTTCTGAGAGCTGCCTACCTTTCCCCTCACCAGCTCTGTGACCTTAGGCGAGTCATTGTCCAATTTACTTGTCCAGGTTTCAGGGTTCTTTTAATCTATAAAAGCATCTTAATTCACAATATATACAAATAGCTAATTATTATGTTGCACACCTGAAACTAATTTAATGTTATATGTCAATCATATCTCAATAAAAAAGCATTTAATCATGAAAATACTTAAGGTACCTATTCATTTTACCACAAAAAATGTTCTTAGTTTTTAATCTTATTCTAAGATTATTTATTAAACAACAACTCCATGACCAGAAAGGGGTTGTGGAAGAAAGAATGAGATTATACAATTAATTGGTAAAAATGAGACCAGTAACATTCACACAGACACACACACACACACACACACACACACACACACAGTTCCACCAGAGCAACAAAGACAATTCAACAAAACTAGGGATTCAATTCTGCTCAGTCTCAATCCAATGGGGAGAAAACTCACATAACACAAATTACTAAGAACTATGAGAATAACTTTAGAGGGCATTGCTTTAACTGTTGGTTTCTTGCAAGATATTTGACATTTCAAATTGAGAAAAACTGAATAAGTTAATATCTTATAAGATCAACAGAAATGTGCATAACTTTCCTGGTATTTATCTATTTGTTTATCTTTCAAAAAACAGAGGACATCAAATATAAGTATGTGCCTCTTTATTCCAGTAGGTGGCTCTAAAGTCCAGTTGTTTATTTTTCTATAAAAACATCACAGCACCAAATTGTGCTAAATCCAAAAATCACTCAATGAGGAGTGTTTTCTGCCTAGTTTCTTTCCTGTCAAAATAAAATCATTTTTTTATTCAACAGTAATTCAACCATGTGAAGTTGGTTTATAGAAAATAATGCTAAATGCAAAATGTTGCTAGAATATGTTATCATATAACCTAAGATTCTTTGTATCTACCCATAGATAGGCTCAGACTATCTTAAGAAAATTACTCCTTGTTATGTGCTATTTCCACAAAAACCAGTGAGTGTGCAGTTTGTATCTTATTAACCCTCACCTGCACATTTTCATGTTTTGGGAAGTACACTGAGAGGAATAGTTCTGTTCAAAAAGTTACAAGGTTGAGACAAATTAATGTGCATTTGCTTTTTTCCCCCTAAACCTTCCAGTTAAATGTTTATAAGCACCCCATTTCATTCTGGAGTTCTATTTCCCCTTAGAAAACAATGGACTTCTCTCAACAGTTTGAATCACCTCTTTTTTTGGCATCTCTCAAAGGTTTAACTTATTAGCTTCCTTTCCAACAACATGTTGACATTTGAATTGTGACATATTAGAACTTTTCGGTGGCTTCTCGGAAATAGTGAGGTTAAAGAGACAATACCCTGCAAGATCGTCACACAGGGCGATTGTCTCTGTTGGGGAACACTGCTTAGACACACATGCCAGGTCATTTTAAGAAAGTATTGTGATATCATGATTTCTTTGTGGTCCACTCTGAATCACGTCTCTTAATTCCATTTCAGATTGACTCAATCCAGTGTGAACAGTCCAAGAAACAAAAGAAAATGATAGGTATATTTTAAGTATAGAATATAGAGACAATTCTCTTTGCAGGGACATCGATCGCTACTGGAATTCCCTGTAAGTGTCCAGACTGTCATGTGAGGAATATTGAGTGCATAAAAAATAAAGGACACGGAAGAGTGTTGATGTTGGCTTTATTTACTGGAGGTAAAAGGTGACATTCCAGGCCATGAAAGGCAAGGTAAAGTAGAGTGGGTTTTAACTTCAGGGTGTTCTTTTAGATTTTAAGTGAATTTTTACGGTGCTCATGAAACCGAGGTTTGAAAAGAACTGGCAAGCGCCAGACGTAATGAGGGCAGATTCTGGGCACGCTTCCTCATAGAGCAGTAAGAATGTGCCTCGAAGTCCCATCTACCACACCCTTACAAATCTAGTGGGTGTTTTCGAGGTGTTGCTACCACTTGTGGTCCTCTTTATATCTCATCTCTCAGGATCTTAGAGAGATTCGGTAACATTATATTGTTCCACCTATAATTACAATGACCCAAAAATATAACTTGAATACTCGAATCCAGAGATGTCTACCTATAAAGTTAATTTATGTTCTAGCAATAATAATTCACCAGCAGCCTTGGAGAAGTGAGAGGAGGAGTTTAAACAAAAACATAATGACAATTCGTTGCCTCAAAACAACTACGTGGAGGAATGATGGAATGTAATCTTGGAGGAATCAAGCCTTTCAGAAAATCAGGTATCACACATCTCTGCTTTTATATTATAAAATAGGTCTTTCAGCAAATAAAAATGCAATAAATAACAGAAGGGATTTATGTAGCTTTTTCCCACAGGTTTGTGTATTAAGTATTCTTGGCCATGCTTATAAAAAATATAACCATAATGTCTTTACACTCAGTGTATTCTCAAAATCTCAGCTCTATTGCAGTCCTACAAATTATATGTCATCTGAGTTACGTACCAGAAGCAGAGATCCTACCAATATAACCTCTCTGGTTTTTGAGTTGGAGAAAAATGGAAGGGAATCATTACTCTGTTAAATTCCATAAAAGAAAAGGTCTCTTCTCCCATCAGGGGGTTTTACGGAAAAAGTTATCTGGATCCAAAATACAACTGTCCTGAATCTGGGATTTTGTGAGGAATTCAACTCAAATATATAAAGAGTCTCAAAGACTTAGAAAAAGTTCAAATTGATACAAAAAGGGTTGTTGATTTATTATTTTGCTGTGTCTCTCTCGGAATGTTTTATAAGAAGGAGAAAAACTCAATTCCTCACAATATTAGTTGAAAGATAAGAGGAACGGGGCCTTAGAGTATAAGAAAATAGGAATATATAAAAATTCCGTTCTTTTAAAAGTCATGATAAGCATTTTTAAAATGTGTTAACTCCTCTAGAGTTTTCTCTTTGGTAGCAAATAACAAATTCCAGAAATACAACATGTTATGACCATGACCTAATTGTGCGTACATTTGACACTTTTGAAAGTTAAGGTGGTTTTTTTCATTTTATCATATAAAAAATTTTCATTTCCCAGTATCTTTGTGGACTCTTTTTATTTTTCCAGAAATCTATTTTTCTATCTTTGTAAGTATGGATATTATATTTAGCTCTCTGGATGCCTCAATTTATAAGAATAAATATTTACAGTAAATGTTTTCATTACTAGATCATTTTGTACTTTTTTAATTTTCTAAATTTGCTAAAATAGCATAGTAGTGAAATTTCTAAATATTTTTTTTAATTCTAAATCATTAGATTTTGAAAATAAAACTAGAAATTCCCCAAATTGTTCACTTTTACTAGTGGTAAAATTCACAATTTAAGGCATAAATTTAATATTATATTCATCTATATAGAAATTACTCTAAACATAATTATTATATTTAATGTATTTTAATCAAACCTTGAAACCAGTTCCAAATGTCAAACAAATAACCCTTCAGTTAATATTCGCAAGGCTAAGCTAAGGATAAAAAAAGGCAGTGGTGACTGTATTTGATTTAACAAATTTTAGACTTCCAAAAGGTATATTTTCATACAATGTTATGTATAAGCATGTATGTGCTTGGATATGTTATATATTTTTATATGTGACCTATAAATGTGGCAAAGTATACACCTCGGGAAAATTTCAAATTTGCATAAAATATTAGCAATCTCATATTTTATCTATTAATATAAATGAATGTTTAATGGCATATGCTTAATTCTAATTATATATCATATAAGGATATGTAATAATATATTATGTATAGTACATTGTATATATATTATATACAGTTATATATTATATGTAGTTGGAATTGGAATTAATCATATTTTATTAAATATTCATGTTCTTTTGTTATTTAAGTCCAAGAGCACAAGCACTAAAAAGAGTATGGACGCTTACAAGCATTCCAATAGGAAAGTTAACAGGCTATAAAAGACTTCAGACGAATTCTGTTTTATACTGTCAAGGCCTGTGTTCAACCTAGTCCTCCATCAAATAGACAATGCTACTATTTGTATTTATAAATGATAATAATGTGGGTTCTTGTTTATTATCCTATAAAATAGAAAAATCTAGAATCTGTCAGACCAGACTTACAGTCTAGTTTGCTATGCTTGGATCAATTTAAAGTATTGTGCTTGTACTATTGAGACAGAAGAGAAATTCAGCGCAC